TTCATTTTAATTAAATTGAAATTAAGAAACTATAATGCATTTAGTTACTGAAAACTTTTATGTTTGAAACAACACAGGGATGTGATTTTTCTTTTTTCAACAGTAAATGTTGTGCAATCTAAATACAGTGTTTCCAGTGAAACTTTAGTATCTGAATTGGAATGCGTGGTAAATGTAAAATATATCAGATTTAAGACAATAAAAAAGGATGTAAAATATTTCATTAATAATTTCGTATTGATTACATGTTGAAATGACATTTTGGCTATACTGGATTAAGTGAAATATATTATTAAATTAATTTCACCTGTGATTCTTATTTTTTTAATGTGACTACTAGAACATTCGAAATGAAATAGGTGTCCTGCATGATATTTCTTTGGATGGTTTTGAGAGTCTATACTCTATAGACCGTGGTATGGTGGTGGTTTGACTGGCAACCTATATCCTAGTCAGCCGCAGGTGCTTTGAAGAAAAGAAGAGTATCGCCCTTTGAGGAAGACATCTGTAGCGTTCTGAGTCATTACTCTCATCAGGAAAGACTTGCGCCAATAACCTTTGCTAACAGGGTTTGTTTTAAGAGAATCAGGGGACGTGAGTGAGGACTCTGCGGTCCCCAGTGCTTCCAAAACTGGGATGTGCTGTAGGCACCGTGGATAAAGCACCGTGACTATCCATCTAAGTACACCCAGCACTCCCCCCTCTGCCTGGACTAGCCTGTGTCCATTCAGCCCAAACACCCCTGTTGGGTGGAGGTTTGAGCCAAGCTCCTTCAGAGGCTGTTACCTCCCGCCCCCACCCCTGCGTCTGGCTGCTTTTAGCCTGGCCACAATTTTCTAGTTTATTCAGTTGAAGACAGGTAGCAGTGTCTGTTTTGTTCTTTCCACATGGATTAAACTGTAGGATCTTGACACAAAAATAACTGCTAAGGCTTTCTTCAGAAGGAGTATATGTCAACGGCAGGAGTTTTGAATTTAGGCCTTCTTTGCTCTGTGAAATTCCACCCTCTGCATCTGTAGAGAATAAATGTGGTATCAGGGAGGATGTGTCCAGTCAGTATACGTTCAGCATGTGGTGACAGACGTGGTGTGACTGGGGAGGGTGATTTTCCCTGGGCACAATGTGGTGAATACTGTGGCATGACTAGAAAGGACCACCGCCTCTGGCACAGACAGTGACTCATCTGCAGTGACTGGAAGGACTCTGTGTTCGTCTGCTGGAGCTGCCGTAACAAATACCTCAGAAGGCATGGCTTAAACAACAGAAGTTTATTTTCTCACAGTTCTGCAGGCAAGAAGTCCAAGATCAAGGTGTCAGCAGGGTTAGTCTCTTCTGAAGTCTCTCCCCTTGGCTTGCGTATGTCTTCTCACTGAGTCCTCACATGGTCAGCCCTCAGGCTGTGTTGTAATGTCTTTTTAAAATTATTTTTTAAATCGAGACATAATTGACACGTAATACTATATTAGTTACGGATATGCAACATAACGATTTAATATTTTATACATTGCAAAATAATCACACTAAGTCTAGTCAACATCCATCATAGTTAAAAATACATTTTTTCCCTAGTGATGAGAACTTTACGATCTATTTTCTTAGCAGCATTCAAATATGCAGTACAGTATTATTAACTGTAGTTCCCATGCTGTATATTATATCCCTAATGACTTAATTATTTTATAAATGGAAGTTTGTACCCTTTGACTCGCTTCACCCATTTCTCCCATCTCTCTCACCCCTCCCTCATCTCTGGCAACCACCAATCTGTTCTTTATTTATGAGCTTGATTTTTTCTTTCGTTTTGCTTTTAATTCCATATAAGTGAGGTCATACGGTATTCGTCTTTCTCTGCCTGACTTCTTTCACTTAGCATTTCTTTTACCTTGAGGTCCATCTACGTTGTTGCAAACAGCAAGATTTCATTTCCTTTTACGGTGGAATAATATTACCTTGTATATATACCACAATTTCTTTATCCATTCAGCCACTGATGAACATTTAGGTGTTTCCATATCTTGGCTACTGTAAATAATGCTGCAATGGACATGGGAATGCCTATATCTTTTAGAGTTGATGTTTTTGTTTTCTTTGGATAAATACTCAGAAGTAGAATTACTGGGTCATATAGTAGTTATATTTTAATTTTTCGATGAGCCTCCACACTTCTCCCTAGTGGCTGCACCTATTTACATTCCTATTCACAGTGCACATGAGTACCTTTGCTCCACATCCTCACCAACACTTGTTATTATTAATTTTTTTGTCTTTTTGATAATCACCATTCTGACCGGTAAGAGGTGACATCTCATTGTGGTTTTGATTTGCATTTCCCTGATGATTAATGATGCTGAGCATCCTTTCATGTACCTCTTGGTCACCTGTATGACTTCTTTGGGAAAATGTCTATTCAGTTCTACTTCCCATTTTAAAATCTGATTTTTTTTTTTTTTGCTATGAGGTTGTATGAGCTCCTTATATATTTTGAATGTTAGCACCTTGCCAGAAATATGATTTGCAAATATTTTCTCCCATTTCAGTAGGTTGCCTTTTCATTGTGCTGATGGTGTAATCTCTTCATCTTAGGTAACACTCACCTATATAATCTCATTTTGCTTTAATTATCTCATTAAAGGTTTTATCTCCAAATACAGTCACCTTCTGAGGTACTGGGGGTTAGGACTTCAACATATGAATTTGGCAGGTACACGGTCAGCCATCTTTGATCAGTATGTGGCATTTGAGGATCAACTTAATGAATTCTGTGGTCAGAGGCAATGACCACAAAATGACCATTAGGTCACAAGAGGATTTCCTACTCAAGGAAATGAGAGCAAGACATGCACCTTTGACAAGGCTGTGACCGAGTTTAGGTAAATGAGGTTGGATGGAGGGACATATTGACTCCCGAATTTTATCGCAAGGCACAGATGGTACAGACTGCTTCTCTGCACCAGGAATTCCTTGACCACAGTTCCTGAGGCCAAGCAACTTGAATCGAACATCCTTGGCATAATATGCTAAATCCTGGCTGGCAAATCTGACATCAGGAGCAAGGGTTAACAATGTATTTAGGGGCATAAGAGAAACACATAGAAGGAGTATAATGTGAGCAACATAAGGCAAAGAGGTGATCAGGCTGGGAGTGAAAAGGGGAAATCAGCAAAGATTTCTAATTTCTGGAGAGGATAGCCTTCATAAAGTTGGAAATTGATGAACAGGTGCTGATGAGGATGATGGGGAAAATCTAGAGCTATGGCAGAGGCTGGAAATGCAAGGTATGCAAAGATCCTCTAGAAGCTGATTGGTTAAAAAGCCTAGGGTTTGTGAATGTAATGAGGGTTGATTTAAAGCAGTGATGGAGGGAGAAAGGTCTGCCTCTAGGTGTGAGGTGATGTGAGACTAGCTTTACTGACAAGAGGAGATGGTAGATTGAGTGTGAGGAGATTATGAGCTGGCGAATGATCAAATGTTAGACTTGACGAGGTCTAGCGTTACACGCACACACACCGAAAATCACCACAATGATGTAGTCTTGTGATTCCTCGAGATAGCTGGTTCCGTTGCTGGTACGAAGACCTCCGGGATACTGCCCCAGTGTTCATAAAAGAAAAGATAGGAACAGTCTCACTGCTCTGTGGACTCTTAGATGATGATAGCTAAAAAGTGCATTTCAGCAAGCAGCTTTCAGTTAGTTTACTTGCTTCCATCATAACTGCAGACATCTTTAGTCAGTTCAATTGTTAACAGGAAACTAGATGGAAGTGAGGAGGCTTAGGGAATAAGTGCATTAAACTGTGATGAGTTAGTTAAGTAACAACAAACAAACTTCATCAAATGATTATGAGGCATTTTATGCATTTATCTTAAGAAAAAATACAGTATGAAGAGCAAACAGATGGCTTGATCAGAATTTGCTTTGCTTACTGGGATAGGAAAAAACCCTCCTCTTTAAATGTCAACTCGGGCCACCTGGCTGGCTCATCGGTTAAATGGCCGACTTTGGCTCAGGTCATGATCTTACGGTTTGTGGGTTCCACCCCTAGTCGGGCTCTGTGTTGACAGCTCAGAGCCTGGAGCCTGCTTCGGATTCTGTGTCTCCCTCTCTCCCCTACCCCGCTCCCACTTCTGTCTCTCAAAAATAAATAAATGTTAAAAAACATTTTTAACGTTGACTGAATGCTACAGCATTGTGAAAGAGAACTATTCCTCTCCCAATAGATTTTCTCAGTAGTCGTCAACAATTCCTGTAAATATACTCTGCAATTCAATGGTATCTTTCAGAGAACGTTCAACCTTTTCATTGTCTTCAAGGGGTAACAGATCTCGAGTAGTTGCTGTGGGCTTCCGTCTTTCCCCTTAGCATCCTATATGCGAAGTCAGCAATTCATCCTAGGGGACTCTCCTTACACTGCTCTAACTTCAGTGGTGGAGCTCAGGCCCCATAAAATCCCAGGCGATGCTGATGCCTGCCAAGTTGTAGCGAACTGGCTCTCCACTTACGGAATGGGTTCAAGTCATAGAAAAGATGAGGAGGAAGGGTTAGAAAACAAGTCTTTGGTAGGCACATCAGTTTGGGAATGACGGAGCAGCTGGGAGTAACTTTATTTCTTCCTCTTCCCAGCCTGCAGATAGTCAAGCCTCGTGGGCTGACCACTCTGAAGACAGGTAATGGTGCACCCAGTTAGAGTTACAGCCCTGCGCTCAGCCCTGGCAGTGCCCGTCTCACCCCTCCCTTGCCGCAATTACCCGGGCGCCCCCACCTGCTCCGCAGCTCCGCCCAGCCTCTGGCAGGCCCGGCGCGGGCCACACCCTCTCACCGCTCTGGGGCCCCTCCAGCCCGGCAGCACGCGCCGCCGGCCGGCGCCCCGCCCCGCCCGACACGTGACAGCCCCGCCCTCCGCGCGCACTCGGATTGGCTCTCCCGCCCGAGGGGGTGGGTCCTAGCATACAGCCCTGCCCCGCAACGCGGCTGCAGTTTTCAAACCTCAACTGTAATCTCCGGTCACCGTGTCCGCTGCCGTCGCCGGGAGCCACCTCACCGGGGAACAGGTCACTACTGTTGGCCGTTGTCCAGAAGAGGAAAAGTGGGTCCTGCTACGTTCGGAGCTACCTGGCGCCTCACTGGGCTAGAGCTGGAGAACGAGTCCTGTGGTGGCCACCGGCGTGTGGCGGGACGGGAGCCCCCTTGGAGGGGCAGCCCCCGAGAGAACCTGCCGTGTCCCGAGCGGTCAGCGCCTTCCGATTCGCGCGACCACAGTTCTGCCGCGACTAGTGGGTAGGTTCGGGACTCCGATTCTGAACCCCTGAACCCGCCCCTTTTACCCCGGACACGGAGACCCCGAAAGTGGGAGGGGTCCCGAAGAGGGATAGTGTCAGGCAGTGTGGGCGGGTTCAGGGTCTCGTCAGAACCGCGACCGTCAGCCGGGCGGAGGCGGGCTCGGACTCTGCGTCCCCTCAGGTGGCCCGACTGCCCGGGGCCCGTCTCTGCCCTCCGAGCAGAGTCCGGCTTCGCTGCCCCGCTCGGGGTCGGGCGAGGGCGGCCGGTGGTCCTCCCAGCCCCCCACCCAGCGTGTCTGTGCGTGTGCGCGCCGTCGCCCGGGCCGCCTGAGCTCCTCTGGGTCGCGTCCCGCGGGGGCTCCCTTGCGCGACCCGCTACCTCGCTCCCCTTCCACGTCGCGCCGATGCGGTCTTTCCTGGCCCTCCCGAGTTCACGGCTGTGTTGTGGGCACAGGACGTGTTCACCTCTGGGCTGCTGGACGCGTCCTGCTCACAGCCGCCTTTCGTCTCGGGGAAGTTTTGTGCTCCTCTTGTGGGGCATTTTCGGTTACTGCTTGTGAACATTGTCTTGGAGTCACTGCCTAGAGCGGACAGATTGCAGTTGTTGCAGTCTTGTCCAGCGATCTGATTTTATTTGGATGCCGCGTAAATCACTTAAGTGTACGCGAGTCATCCTCCAACTATACAACTACGTCATGGCTCCAGTATTGAAGTGGACCCAGCTCTTGCTTTTATTGTGTAGGGAAAAGCGCTTCATTTGAATTCCCTTAAAGGGATTAGTGGAGACAGAGTTGAAAGAGACTTTATGGCAGCTGGTAGCTGATATTGGTTCTTTTCTTCCTCGGTCTGTGAAGGGACTAAGACTCTGAGGCAAAGTTGCAAATTAAAACTTAAAAAAAAAAAAAAAAACATTTAAAAAACCCAACCAGGTACTGATCAAATGTCAATACTGTTAGGTGTGTGTATCACGTTCTCTGTTTTGCCAACGTAATGTTTACCTCTGGTACGGGTTGGGGGAGGGGGTGGTGCTGGAGCTTGCCGAGGTGTCTGATACGGCGTGGCCCCTTTAAGTTCTCGTCTTTGCCAGTGTGAGCGCTGAGACAGCGTGGTCTGCAGGGATGGTTGGGCCAGTGGTGGCCTCCGTGTGTGCCCTGGCAGTAAAGCCCACGAGCACAGTCTTATTAAAGGAAAATATAATAAACCTATTTTCTCATGGCTGCACTCTTTTATAGTTTTATAGTGAACTGCCCAGAAGTAGTTTGTAACAAATTCGGAAGTGTTTGTTGTATAAAGTATGAAGCCACTTACCCATACAACTTTGTATTTTTGAAAAACTTGGTCCATAGAAGCATTGCTCTAATTTAAGACCTCTCTTCTTCCCCCTTTATCCTTCTGTGAGATGTTTCATTTTTTTAAAAAAAGCTTTCTAATATTCTCATAAGTGGAATTAATAGCTGCTTTATTTTTGAGATGCATAATTTACAGTTTAGATCATCCTCTAAGTTATTGATCTCAAACTGAAGTGTGAAATATATTTACACGGCAGTGTATTTAAGTTTTAAAAGTAAAACTTGTATAATGATTTGAAAGTCTTTCTCTTTTGTGTGTGGACAGAGTGGTGGTAGGTAGTCGCTTTTGGGCTCTGCATAGTGAATTACAATTTAAGATAGAATCAGTTTTTAGGAAAGTCAAGTCTGGACTAATTGGTCACCATGTCGGCACATTAATTACAAATCTGAAGAAGATAAAGAAGTTTTATGACCTGTTTCTAATCAAACAATTTTATTTTTAAGTTTGCATTTGGCAGTGCTTTACTGGTGTTAAGTAAACATTTAAACTTTTTTTTTAAAGCTTTGTTTTGAAGCTGTTCGATAATTATGAGAGAATATCCTTATCAAAAGTTTCCTGTTGTACTCAAGAGACCCAATTAAAAACCCATGAATTAGGGAAATCAATTGCTAACACTATCACTAAATCCTAAAATTGCCTATTTCCCGTATATAAAATTGGCAGCCAAGAATAGTGCTCCTAGATTGACTGCCTTTAAAAGATTTTGATTGATTTCTTGTGTTTTTTTAAGAATTCTTTTGCATTCTCTGACTATTGATTGTGTCAGTAACATTAACAGTCATTTATATACTTCCTTTCCACTTGGAAAAACTTTAATGTTTTAGTTGCTGTAGTCTTCTACAATAGTGATGACAGAATTCAAGGATTTTATTTTTAAGTAGCTTATATTCTCTGATAGACTAATATCAAAGGAAATTTCTTTGAATATTTCAATTAATATATGTACTTACAAATTAAGTCACAAAAAATAAAGTTACATATTTTTGTCTAAATAGGTTGTGACATAATTTTCATGACATACTTTGTTAAACTTTTAAAAATTTCTTTTTTTCCAATAACATTTAACCTTGAACTTGAATGCCACTTTAAACATCTAATCAGTTTCTTTCAATGTTTGTGGTGTATTTTGGTGCATCCCTGACCCTTTGCAACTTCTTCACCAAAAGAGGGCATAGTTCTACTTTAAGCATTTAAAATTTTGATATTAACAGTGAGATGGTAGTTTAATCTTTAATCCTTAAAGGATCATATTCCATTTTGTATTGTAAAGATTACTGAACAAACAGTACTTCAGTGGTGTGGTATGTAAATAGTACTTTATTTTGCAATAGAAACTTAATTTTCCATTTGATGAATGACAAGCCCTGTGTGTTTCTTGGTCCGCTATATTTCTGTTTTTCAGCATCTTCCTGTCCTGTTTAATTTTCCTTCCGAAGGTAGAAGAGATGGCTCCGGGCTTTACTGTCATGGCACACATTCGGGCCTGGGGTCGTTACCTGGAACTTCAGCCCTTGGGTAGTATGTACTAGACTGGCTGGGCTAGAGTCAGTTAGCTGGCTTCCTTTTGTGATTTCCGAAGGACTAAATTCCTGACGTATGCTTCCTATTCAGTCTTTAAAAGCAAAAAAAAAAAAAACACGCAAAACCTACTATTAGAATATAGTTAGTAAGGGGCGCCTGGGTGGCTTAGTCGGTTAAGCGTCCGACTTTCGCTCAGGTCATGATCTCGTGGTTCGTGGGTTCGAGCCCCGCGTCGGGCTCTGTGCTGACTGCCAGCTCAGAGCCTGGAGCCTGTTTCAGTNAAAATGAAAAAGTTAAGAGAAAAGACGGAGGAGAGAGGGTGAATAATAGGGAGTATAAAAACATGAAAGGGTCGGGGCGCCTGGGTGGCTTAGTCATTTAAGCATCCGACTTTCACTTAGATCATGATCTTGCAGTTCGTGGGTTCGAGCCCTGCGTTGGGCTCTGTGCTGACTGCCAGCTCAGAGCCTGGAGCCTGTTTCAGTCTGTGACTCCCTCTCTCTCTGACCCTCCCCTGCTCACGCTGTCTCTCTCTCTCTCCTAGATATAAATAAAACATTTAAAAAAATTAAAAAAAAAGAATATAGTTAGTAAAAGGAATATAGTCTCTTCCTTGAAATTAAAAATCCTCTTCATCCCTATCCCTACACCAATACCTTTACTTCTAATCAATGGAGTCTTCTGCCATCCTAGCAGAGCATTCTTTCTTTATTTTCATGGATGCTAGATAAATAACTCTCTAGTTCCTCTGTTTCCTAGGAAAAACTTGGTAGCTATTAATTGCTGACATAGAAGGGAGTTGTTTCCCTGTAATCTTGTGCCTTGCATTGTTTCCAGCTGCCTTTTGAATTTACTTAACAATGATGTAGATTTGTCAGTCCTTACCAGGACAAATTTCTGAATTTCCTGAATGAGGTACCTTTTAAAATATTGATATTCTTAGCTGAAGTAGGTATTCACATAAAAGAGGTGGTCACTTAGTCTGTAAAGACAAAATAAATTGTTGGTATTACAGTACAGTATATGATAAAATAATTTTGTCCATTTTTCTAAGCTTTATAGCTATGCTGCTTAGAATTGAAATTCTCTAATAGCAGTTTAGAATATTCCTTATTTTATTTAACCAAATATTGATTAAACAGAGACTAAGCTGCTTGAAGCTCCAATGCTGTAATTTCAAGATGCATCTCAAGCTCTGTTAAACCCCTGAAGATCCAAGATGCACCTAAAAATTCCTGTTGCTGTATTTCATAATTCCCATAATTCAGTTCATCAAACATTAAAAAAACGACTGTCTGGTGCCATGATGGGAGTTTAGACACAAAAGTAAATGTTGCCCTGCAGCCTAACATGTTACTTGTTGAAGAGGTCTGTCCAGGGTCCTCCTGGTTCTGAAATGCAAAGTTCAGGCATTTAGACCAACCTGTGGGTTTTAGGCAGAGCTTCCTGGGGGAGGTGACATTCTATGTTGAGATATGAAGGGTGCGTGAGAAGACTTAGCCATTTAAGGAGAAGTATAAAGAATGTTTCAGAGATGTCGAGGCAAAAAAATGAGTGTGACAGGAAATGAAACTGGTGTGTACCTGGCCTCAAAAGGCTTTTGCCTGTCATGCAGGAAGGGCTTTAGCTTATAGGTACTGGGTAGCTAATGAAGGGATCAAAGCAGACGATTGGATTCGCTAGATGTTTTCATTTATTGTATGTTATATACTTTATTTTTGTAAAACATTTTATCAATAACCTTGAAATGAATATTGTGATGAATGTTTTTAAAAACAGAACTATTTATAGGTTTTATAGAGACTGTTGTTTGTTTTACTTCTAATCACATCACATTGCTGTCTCTTTTCAAGTAGTTAAGGCCCAGACCAAACCTAACATTTCCTCTGTTACTTCCTTCACTGATCCATATCTGAATTCTTATTGTACTTATTGTAGTGGGCATTAATGAAAGAAAAATCTTTGAAAATAAGTTTGAGGTACTGTATAATTAGGAGGTTAATTTTATCTTGCTTCTCTTACCCTCTTACTGTTTCTAGTGCCTGATTGTGTCCCCGTGCACACATACACTCACAGTTACCTACTAAGTCCTGTAAGATTTTTTTTTTTATTAGTGTAGCCTAATAAAGTGTTATGAAATGAATTTCAAATAGATTGGGACATATTGGCAGTGTACAATTAGCTATGTGAATTGTGGTAGAAAATAAGAAAAGGTCTAGGGTTGTTGGACTTCAAGAGAAATTGGTGGGAAAGCACTGAGAGACAAAGCGCTGACTGATAACCTTCATGTACCCAAGGATTAAATCGTACATGATGAGCAACCACATGTTTGTGGAGGGTTTAGACAAAGGTAACATTCATGCTCCATTATATGTAAAATTAGCCAAAGGAGAAGAAATGGAAAAATATCTAGGCTGTGGCAACTGGTTCAAGAGCAGTAAATGGAAGGAAAATATAGGGTGCTGTGTGTCTGCCAGCAGTCTGTAATATATTAGCAATAAGTAGGTAAATGTCAGGTTCTGTCTTCAGAAGTGTGCTTGCTTTTTTTTTTCTGAGACATAGCTGTGTTCAGAGCTAGACTGAAATGTATCACAATTCAAAAAAGATTTTTGTATTAACATGTATTTAAAAGAACCACTGATTGCCCAATGCTGTTTTTAGCTACATTTATAGTCTTAAAAATGCCTGTGGGTACATTCAGCATTATGAATGTGAGGGAAGGAAATTTTGTTAGGGTAAAAAAATTAAACACAAGGCAATGTCCAGTATTAGGAAATATTATTAAGTAGTTCAGTTAATAAGGCCCTACTTATATTATCATAATCCATAGCAATCCTTTTTTAAAAAGGTCACCTCTTTTCCCTTCTAACATAACTAAATAATAGATACAACAAAATTTAGTATTTATCTGTATATTTGGATCACATTTTGGATTTTGGGTGGGAGGGGGACCCAGGATAAGCCTAGATTTTCACAAGTGATACTCATAATACAGGTGTGTGTTTTAAGGTTACAAATTGTTATTCATTATATAGAAGTGTAACTATGACATTAATTCAGAATTTGTTAAATTGTCTTTTCTCTCCAGTATTAAACAAGGCATTAATTCTTATTTAGTGTTTACCCTGAATGCTCATATGGTCTCTGCGTAAGAGCTGACATATTATTTGGATAGTGAACACCATCTGCTCTGTATAAATGCAGAGAAAATGCTGAGGCCTTAAAAAAATTGAGCAATAATGGCTTTTGAACCTACAGCCAAGTAAACCCTTAATGTGTGAAGAGATAGATTTTGCTGTTGCAAGTGGGTAAGTTGCTACATTTAGTGTCTGGTCATGTATATTCACAGCAATAGTTTTTACCCAAAGGCATTTACTAATTTTTTTTTAAATGTTTTATTTATTTCTGAGAGAGAGAGAGAGAGAGACAGCGTGAGCAGGGGAGGGTCAGAGAGAGAGGGAGATACAGAATCTGAAGCAGGCTCCAGACTCTGAGCTAGCTGTCAACACAGAGCCCGATGAGGGGCTTGAACCCACAAACCGTGAAATCATGACTTGAGCCGATGTCAGACGCTTAACGGACTGAGCCACCCAGGAGCCCCTCTAATTTCTGCCTCTTATTAAAGTAGTACCTGCTTAGTGTAGATACTTTCAAAATAGGAAAAGTATAAAAACTGCCATGTTCCCACCACCCAAAGATAGTTACTGGTAACATTTTGCCCTAGTTTTCCAATCTTTTCTTTCCTTTTATATTTTTGCCACAAAATTATCATACTGTATACACTTTCTGTGTCTTCCTTTTTTATATTTTTGCCACAAAATTATCATACTGTATACACTTTCTGTGTCTTCCTTTTTTAACTTTATATTTTATGAGATAAAAATATTCTTTAAAAGCATGGTTTTTGAGGATATAGTATCTTAGTTTTAGGTATATTTAATCATTTGTTGGGCTCATTCATTAAATAAGTTTGGGTTTTTTTTCATTATTATAAATTATACTTCATTGAACATAAATCTTTGAATACATCTAAGACCCATATTGACTCTGGAAACTTGAAAGCAGAAAATACTTACTCATAAAATTATTTCTGCTAGAGTTCTTATGAATAGATCACTTTGTAGCAGATATATTATAGCATGAGATAAACATCTTAGATTCTAGAATCTAGATGAGGTGAACTTCTCAGAATCAAGAACCTATACTCTGTCACTGTGATCGAATTTGACATGTTCTTGTTCTTGTATTTCCCAAGGCCTGATTGATGGACACTGTTGGGAATTTAGGCCAATTTGTATACATGATATAGGTATATCCTTTCTTTCTGTATGTATATATGTATAATATAAATATGATCATAAGCGGGCATATTCATAGACTTAGAAATTTAGGAAAAAAATGGTAAAAGTCCAAAGATGACCTGAAAAAAATTAGATTGAGCATAGAAATTGGTAACCATATTGATTTTTGTTAGAGGACTGTATGGCCAATGTAACTGAGTGCCATCAGAACTAAGCAAAGACATAAATAGTTTATCAAGACATAGTAAAAAAAAAAAGAATTTTAAGAGCTGAGTGTGAGCTAACTTGGGGTGAGAGATTTGAATATGGAAACAGTACAACTACTCAACAGTAGCCAGGGACTGTGTAGAGAGTATCTTTAGGTAGAATATTAACGATATTTACTTACTGAACAATCATGATGTACTCTCATGACTAGCACTGTACCAGTGTCCTTCTACATGAGTTCATCATATTTTAATTTTAATCTTTAGAGTTATTTGAGTTCTGAGAGTTCTATTATAATCCATACTTTAGAAGAAGCAGAATTCAAGCTTTCTTCACTGGTAATCAGAGAAATGCAGAGTAATTCACAAGATTCCATTTCCTTTCATCACACTAGAATAGCCAAATTTAAAGGCCTGAATGGAACAAATGTTAGCAAGAAAATGATAAGGTCTCCCACCTAGTGATAGTGGGGATGTAAACTGGGCATCTAAAAAAGGGACCAACTTCAGCTGTGTCAGTGATGTCATATTTATTTTTAATTTAAATGAAATACGGCAAAGCAATAAGATTGAAAAAGTGTTATATTTGTATCCCTTCTTATACATTTGGAAATATTTCTCTCTTCTCTTCTCTTCTCTTCTCTTCTCTTCTCTTCTCTTCTCTTCTCTTCTCTTCTCTTCTCTTCTCTTCTCTTTCTTTTCTTTTCTTTTAAGTAGCTATATTTGTTTCCCACACTGCCATAACAAAGTACTGCGGACTGGGTGACGTTAACAGCAGAAATGTATTCTCCCAAAATTTTGGAGAGCAGAAATTTGAGATCACGGTGTTGACATTGTTGGCTTCTTCTTAGGTCTTTTTCTATGGCTTGTTGATGTCCTTTTCCTCCCTGTGTTTTCATGTGGTTTTTCCCTCTATTTCTGTGGCCTAATCTCTTTTTATAAGGACACCAGCCCTGTTGGATTTGGGTCCCCCTAATGACCTCATTTTTAACTTAATTACCTCATTAAAGGCTCTGACTCCAAATACATTCACCTTCTCAGGTGCTGGGGGCTAGGACATCAGCATGTTGATTTAGAGGGGAGGGACACAATTGGCTCATAACAGTAGTGAAGTTAAATAATTTAGATAAGATCTCATAGCTGGTATGATGGATAAATTGGATTCAGACCCAGATGTGATTGAGACCAAATGTTATCTTCAGAATGCTGGGCTGCTACCCTTAGACTACTAGAGATGTACACCAAAACTAATTAAACTTTGTTTCTGCAAAGACCAACAAATTTAGAGAAAAAAATTGCTAACTTAAGAATAAAACCACTAAAATATAGAAACTGAAAACACTGAACTCTTATCACACTGCTTATTAAATTGAATATAGTTGGCATTTGAATTTAGGAAGATAAACAACAGTACATGTCAAGTAGGAAATAGAGGAAAAATGTGGTAGAGAAAGAACAAAAGCCGTAGGGTGTTATTGAAAGAGGGTTCTAGAAGAATAATACTGACCTTTTTTTTTTTTTTTAGTAAACATAGCAGGATTTTTTTTATATACTTTGTAAAATATATAGTCTGCAATTATATGAATTCAATTCATATGGGATAATAGTTTTGTTAAAACTGAATATATGTAAATATCACAGAATTGAAGATAAATATGGGTTCAAGATACAGAACTGTAGAATAAGGCTTTATATATGGTCACTCATCTAACAAAATTACAAGAGCTCAGTTCTACCAAAAGAAAAAATTCTTAAGACCTACCTATGAAAGTTTGAATTTAATATTGAAATGTAGGTAGTCTATGAAACAAGTTTTGCTGCTTGTAGTCATTCAGAAGTCAGTAACAAAACTCACAAAATGTGAATTCACTACCAAAATTGTTTGGCCATGAGAAATTATATTTAAAATGAGTAGTCATTACCCTGCTGTGTTAAAATCTTGTTATGTGAAGGTGTAACTTTAGAGAATAACAGTTTAAAAATGAAATTGAATAATTGCTTATATTAAAATTTTATTATAACTATTTTCTAATTTGAGAGATTTGAGGTTTTTTATAGTAGTTTTATTCTGAAATAAAGTCAGTAACTTTGTTCAAGTACCATAGAGATGATACCAGTTTATGAGTGTGCTTTTTGTTTTCCTTCCTTCTGGGTAGAATGTGCTGCTTAAAATCTTTCTTTTCTTTTTTTGGTAGGGGGAAGGGTTATAACTTACAACTATATTTGGAGCTATAAAGTGTAAAGTACATCCTGTCTATCTGTGATAACATCTTTTTTTTTTTCAATTGCGTTTAAGTTATATCCTGTACATTCTCTTTTTTAAATAGGTAAAAATAAGTGACTAAAGAAGCATATCTGGGAGTCATCTGACATGTCGAGGAGAAGATTTGATTGTCGAAGTATTTCAGGATTGTTAACTACAACTCCTCAAACACCAATGAGAATGGAAAACTTTAATAATTTTTATACACTTACATCTAAAGAGCTGGGAAGGTAAGGAAATTGTATGATGTGTATGCTGTTTAAATTCACATATTGAATTTCTGGGTTTATAGTTCTATAAAATTCATTTCATCATTTTAAGAAATGATTAGAATTCTAGAAAGTCATCATCTTTGCTATTATTATACAGAATCTAGTTTTAACTGACTTGGAAATCAAATCTGTAGAGAGTTAGTGAGCTTTTATGATATATTTCACCTAGCTTCAGAACCCTTAATAGGAGGTCAGTTTCTTAATTTGAGGCTGTGTGTGGCAACAGGTAGCTTAGCATAGAGGACTTCCAAGTCCAAATGCAGGCTCTGCCATTTCCAAACGGTGTGACCTCAATTAAATCTCTGTTCCTTTTAGTGCTATAGTTTCCTCATCTGAGAAGTGGGGATGAAGATAATTATATCTGTCTTCCATGGTTGTTATGAGGATTAAATTAGTTAATATTTGTAAAGTAGTAGAATGTTATCAATTTTTGTTAAAAAATTTTAAATTCCTAGGATATTTTGCTGGACTAAAAAAATAAATAAGGAGGGACTCCTCTTTTTTCCTCAGTTAAACAAAAAGAATTAACTACTATTTGATGGTATAATTCTGTATGATGAAGAATGCATATTCTGTAAGTTTAAAACCCTATGCTTACACTAACACTAATCTGTTTTGGCCTGATGAGAGTGTAAATTCCTTAAGGCCAAGGGGCAACCTGAGATTCTGAGATTTAGTTTTACCATTTTAATATACATGGAAGTTGGAAAAATAGACTAAGATATTTATGTTATGTGTTCAGCATCTCTGAACTTTAAATTCAAGACATTTAACATAGTTAAAAGGTGGTGATCAGTTTCTACCTTTAGTTTGATTTTAGTTCTGGAGATAAATGTTTTGCTTATCTTAAAATGGTTTACCAAGTCCATGTTTGTATTGATAGACCTATAGTAAGATAGTATGATTGATTTTTATCTTCGAAAATCTCAGTGTGAAAACAAAAGTTGACTGAACCATGAAAAGTAATTCTGTTCTTGGTGATCTTTTATAGGAAGGATAACAAGTCCTAGCCTTGTCAGTTTTTGGATGCAGTCTTTCTTTTGCAAAAATAAGGATGATAATATCTACTTCATTAGACTAAGAACTAAATGTGAAAGCATTTTTCATAATTCCTGGCATATTTATTTATTTAATTTTATGTGTACAGCATCTGGGTGTTTTAATGATGTACTGAAAGATACAGTCTTTTTTTTTGGATCTTATATTTTATTTATTATTATTATTATTTTTTTTACAGATAGTTTATTGTCAAGTTGGTTTCCATATAACACCTGGTGCTCATCCCCACAAGTGCCCTCCTCCATGCCCATCTCCCTCCTCCCCCCCACACCCATGAGTCCTCAGTTTGTTCTCAGCATTCAAGAGTCTCTCATGGTTTGCCTTTCTCCCTTTCCGCCACCATTTCTCCCCTTCTTCTCCCCCATGGTCCTCCATTAAGTTCCTCTCAATCCTCCTACACTGTTGGTGGGAATGTAAACTGGTACAGCCTCTCTGGAAAACAGTGTAGAGGTTCC